ATGGGGGGTCATGGGGCTATAAGAGGTTACAGGCGAAAGGATTCAACGAGATCCATCGGGTGGTACCTCCGGGTATGACAGTCAGACACCAGCTACCACCTTGCAAATTACACATAGATCGGCAGATTTCTTCAGGTATGCAGCTATAATGATAACATGTAAACACTCAGTATGTAGAACTAAAGAAATTCGAGATTGCCATGCATTAACAAACGTCCAGACATACCATTAAATATAATATCTCGAAAATCGACATACTATTATTTGTCGCAATCCCATTTGCTGTGAAATGTATTCTAACATTATTTGTAAATTGATAAGTAATAGCAAATACAATTTGGATTCCGCAAAAATTGCAATACAGAGCAATCTCTACAAGAACTTACAGGACAAGTGCTTGAAAATTTTCAAGATGGAAATAAGACTGTTGCAGTTTTCCTAGATCTTCAAAAGGCTTTCGATTCAGTATCTCATACAATTTTATTAAAGAAACTAGAAAGTGTTGGAGTGCGTAGTGGAGTTCTGAACTTATTTGAGAACTATTTGGCTGATCGATTACAACAAGTTAAGGTAGGGTCAGATTTAAGCAACATTCAAAAGATCAAAATAGGTGTGCCTCAGGGGACAGTCTTGGGACCAACACTGTTCCTCATATACATAAATGAACTACTTCGATGTAATTTCAACTGTAAGATGATATCATATGCAGACGATACTGTTTTAGTTTGCTCTGGTCATTCATGGGATGACGCAATACGGAATGCCGAGTTGTCATTAAATAAAGTCAAATGCTGGTTGGATAACAATTTACTTAAACTGAATATCTCTAAAACTAAGTATGTAACGTTTTCCCCAACCAAAGCAGGCATGCCATTACACCACCGAACATTAATTATAAATGATAGTGCTGACACTGTCGAAAGAGTTGAAGTTATTAGATACTTAGGAATCATTGTTGACAGTAATTTAAAATGGCAGAGTCATGCCGAGCTTTTGGCATCGAAATTAAGGAGAATTATTCATAAGTTTTTCATTCTTAGGAATATTTTAAGCAGAAAGAGTCTTCTCTCAATATATAACTCGTTTGTGGGGTCTCTACTAACTTACGGGATAAGTATTTGGGGAGCCGCATACACTAGTACTTTAAAAATACTACAAACCACGCAAAATTATATTGTCAGGACTATTTTTCGTATCCCATGTAGGTCAAGTTGCAGATTTGTTTACATTGAAAATGATCTTTTGAATGTTAGAGGTTTATATATTTTTGCTGCTCTAAAATTTGTTCACTCCCGAAACAATGTTCCAACCAGCCACGCTTATGAAACAAGAACTAAAATAAATATAAGTTACACCTATACCAGAGTGAATAGATCTGTTTGTCAAAAATGCATAATGTTTGATGGTATTAGGTTGTATAATAAATTACCCCTAGAATATAAAATCCTTTCGAAGTATAGTTTCAAAAAAAAAATTAAGAAGTTCATCTTAAATAACTTTGACATGCTTGCATCGACGGTAGCTTGACTCAACTCAGTAATTTCGTTTCTATCTAATGTTTTTTTTTATTTATTTTTTTTATATACATTTGCTCATAATATACCTTATGACCATTAGCCATGCATTGAATTTGTATATTGTATGACACACACAAGCTTATAGCTTAGGTGTCTATTATTTTGTAGTAAATTCTTTTGTAGTAAATTGTAGTACTCTTGTTTCTCTGCTTAACCTTTACGCAAAATTTTTATTGTTTAAACAAGATAGTTTGACCTTACTCGAAATATCCCTCTATTATCATATTTCAGATATTCATATTTTATGTACTCTATATTTATACTTTTGAGTGTTTTTTAGTATGCCTCTGTACTATTGTTATGAATTTTAGATTTGTTTATGCAGAAACGTAATTTAGGATTTGTGACAACAAGATCCAGACATTTACCCTTTACGAAAGTATACAGAATTTTCACAACTCATATACCGTTACTTGCTGGTTCTAGATCTGATGCTAGTATCTTTGCTCAGATTTCTGTTGCAATATTGGTTATTCAGGGTAGCAAGAGCATACAAGCTCATGTATTTTTGAAGCTTTTTGCATTTAAATTGTACTGAAGGTTGTTTTTAATTTGTAAGTTATATTGGTTTTTGAATTTGAATTTGAAAAAATTTGAATTTGAACATGGAAGTTGTCATGTTTTCTCTGTATAAAAGCATGATGATGGAATGAAAAAGTGCTCTTGCTTATAATACAATTGCTTTTTTTTAGAAATCATTGATATTCAGAGAGCTTTGATAGCCTCCGTCAAATTTCATTTCGATAAGGTATTTTCCCATTGAACCAACTGACCGTCAAATACTAATGTTCGTAAAATCGATCCTTAGGCAATTTCCACATTGCAATTTTAAGACGCCGCCATATACGAGTATGCGATCGACTGCTGAAGGTCACGCCCACCGCTGTTTACAGCGTCAATCGGCGTACTCCATACAGGTTTGGACTTACCGGTTGTAACTTGTATGGAGGATTTATATAGTCTCTGATGGTCAGAAATTACTTGTTGGAAATAGGGAATAATTTAGTATGATGCATATTGAGATGTGCTTATCACGCAATCCACTCGTGATTCTCTCTGAATTGTGTCAACGTTAATTATGAACGTTTTTGCAATAATAGAACGTATCATAATTAGCTAACTTATTTCGATATAGCAGCTCTGAACTGAATAGAAAGAGCATGCAATTAAGCTGTACAGCAGAGCAACCGTATCGCGTCTATGACTGTACTAATCACTTGAAATAATGATTACGAGTATTTCACTTTTTCAGTTTGGATGGAATATATTATACTCATTTCGATGACCCAAGGCCCAGTGATGACCAACAGCGCCGACAGTGTACGGAATCTATTGAGAAATAGCTTGGTTTGTCACGTAATTACGCCAAGCGACGACATTGCAACTTATTTCGAGAATTACCTGAGAAGTGAATAGGCAAAAGCGATATCAAGTAATTTGACAATTTGGTCAAATACGGCTACACAGAAATTCTAAGCGTTAGTAGACATAAATGCAACAATAGAAAGCATGCGCAGCTTCCTAATCTTCGGACAGCGAACATTTCCACTATGACTTGAAATAACCAGAAAGTTGAAAAACGTCGCAACAAATTTTCGCTTATTTTTTAGGTGATGACTCTCATGAACTTTTGTACCACCTCAAAACAATAATCGGCAACACCGAAAATATTCGAAATATTAGGTTTGTTGACTTTCTCAAATCTTCCCTTTCTACTTGTTCGTGCACTATCATTGCTGAAAGTATTTGAGGTGTTCGGACATAGCAATATTTTTATGTCAAAATTTTATTAGAATCCGAGCTGTAACTTCTGAAGTACAGGTATAGAGGACCTCGTAGTTTCTTCGCTGAAGCTGTTTTAAATACCCTTGATCGCACTCAGAACAGTCGTCCACATACAAAACCTATTTCATTCACAATGTTATCAAGCACTTGAATCATGAACAATGCACAAGTCAATGCAGCTCATCGCTGAGAGCACAGTTCGATCCTGCACACCGCTGTGTCTACCGTTGCTACAGCCTGTGCCACGGTGCGTCCGCCTCTACTCGTCTGACAAATAATGGGTGATATGCATAAAGGTGAGTGGGTTCTCAGAAGTAGCGACTCCATATTGTAGCGAGTAACTACTCCTGTTAGGGAGAGCCTACTCGGTTTTGATATGCATAAAATACTTATCGAGAAACGGAGAGGCTACTCAAGTTCTAATGAAATACTTGAGTAGGCACTCTGGTTTTCTAGTTCCGACTTGTATTTTGTTGTCTCGCCGAATTGGCAATTTCTCTATTGCGAGCAGTTACTACTGTATACCGGTAAACATTTGTGTTGATGGTGTTTAGGTCGATTATTATTTGTTCATTTACATGATGTCAACCTATTCTGAAGACCATTCATCTGAAAATCAAACAGTATTTGTTAATGTAATTAAACAGTATCCTGTTTTGTTGGAAAAATCTAGCATTCCGGAAATCAAAAATAAACGACGTAAGGCGGTTGAAGAAATAAAAGAAAAGGTAGAAGCCGAATTAGGAGTTAAATATAATGAAGGGCAGATTTGGAAGAAGATTCAAAACATAAAAACCAGATTAAAAGCGAAGACAGACATAAATCATACCGCAAACAAACCAATAAAATTGAAAGGATGGGAACAAGAACTGTTCAATTTTCTACAAGGAGAATCAAACCCTAGTATTGCTCGATTGCAATGTTAGTTGTATTTGTTTGTTTTTCCATACAGTAGGTATAAGATGTGATTGAGTATAATATATATACATGTCAATAAATATAAATAGAATATATTTTAAATTTTAGGTGCTGTTGTGGCAGGTTGCCCACAAAAAAAGCGTTGATTACATTCCAACAGCCTGTGCTGAAGAAGAAACAATCACCGAAGAAGCATCTAGAAGTGCAGGACCAGTACTGAAAGCTACCACAATGAAAGCCGGATCCAGTAAGGAGCCTTCTAAAAAAAAGAAAAACGAGGATTAGTGGAAACCGATGAAACACGAGATTTATCAATAACAGAGCTCCAACGTATCGTTTTACTTGAACAACTACAAGTGTTTCGGCTAGCTAAGGAACTGCTACTTGACAAGAAAAATATTAATGAATCTGATCCAAATTTATCAAATTTAAATGAAAGTGCAGAAACTGGAAATCCAATTTTCATGAGCCTATTTCCAGGGCAGAACTGACAGAAATACTTCATGTTTCATAAATGTTATTTTTTATTAATTTTAAGGTCTTTCTCTTAACTTACCATTTTGAAAATGTTATTAATTTTTTTATGAGTAATTAAACATCGTTCTTCAACGTATATCTACATAATTTTTAAATTTGGATCATGCTAGATACTAACTTAGACCCGAAAGCCATGAATAATTCTTGACATTGCATCTCTTCTAAATTGACCTCTGTGACGTATCACTCCATCTGCATAGTCGGCAGTATGTTGGTTATGGATTTCTTCTTGTTCGCCACATCTCCCGATATATAAACAGCAACATCATCAAGGTGCTTAGCCACATTATGCAAGATAAAACATCTCATGACAAGGGAGGACACTTTTTCTGTATCGAGGCGTATTTTGTTATGTAGAATGGGAAAACGCTGTTTTAGTTGAACGAAACATCTCTCTATTATAACTCGCTCTCTCGTAAACAGCCGATTGTATGATCTTTGTTCTGCTGTTTCTAAAATCCTAAAGGGAGTCATGAGCCAAGGAGCTATACCATACCCAGAGTCTCCCAACAAAACAGCACTAGCCCTATTCCATTTCATAACGTTGTATATATCAGAATTCTTCCATATCCGAGAGTCGTGTACAGATCCTGGCCAAGAAACATCCACACTTGTGAACTCTTCGTTTAAATTGCACGTTGCTTGTACATTTATACTAGCAAAGTTCTTTCTGTTCACATATTCGTCTGCATACATAAACGGCTTCAGAATAGGTATATGTGTGCAGTCGATAGCACCAATAGCTGAAGGAAAATTGAACTTTTCTTGCCACTTATTTTTAGCATTGCGTAGATCTTCACATGAGGTTGGGAATCTAATCCAAATATTCGACTTCTGCACAATGCGTGTTATAACGTTGGTAACGGTTCGGGATACCGTAGATTGATGGACACCAATATCTTCTCCTATGCCAATTTGAAATCCTGGATCACCCACATATCGTAAAAAAACCCTCATTCTTTCTATACTGCTCAAAGCACCGCCCCTATATTCTTCTGTCTCTCCAAGAAAATGGTTACTTATTTAACTTACTTATTTTAACTTTACTAAACAGATAGTCTACTTCCCTTGATTCCCTACGATCTTTAAACACCTTCGTAGGCTGATAAATAGGCATAAATTCGGCCATTTCGTGAAGACATCCCCTTCTTATAAAGCTGAGTCTACTACTAAGGTATCTCGCACTTCTTTAAGTAGGTACTCAGCGGTCGGAGTGGACGCTCGCTTTTATGCATATAAAAATTAAAGTCGGCACTCAAGGAGCGAGTACAGCCTCACGGAAAGAGTAGAAACTTATGAGTGTGAGCTTCTACTTACATTTTTATGCATATCAAATGGAGTGGATACTTTAAAAATGCGAGTCAAAAGTAGCCACTCGCCTTTATGCATATCACCCACTATATTAACCAGAGCGGTTCTACTGGTCCGCAGATATACAAAGTGTACTATAAAAGTTTTGCACAGGTTTGCTTAATGACTTCGTTCAAAGTAATTTCCACCACATTCAATATAGGGGAGAGCGGGGCCGAAGGTGTCGATTTCGGCAAATCCTCCTATAAATCGGATAAAATACATAATACGACTAGCAATTGTGGTTTATCTAAGCAATATTTAATCTAGTTTATGAATTTATATGCAGTTTTAGTACACCTTTAACAGTTTTTGACAGAAACTGACTTTTTTTCGAAGAGGTATTACCAACCCCGCTCAGGGGCAAGTTGTGCCGTAGCTGAGGTCGATTGTGCCGTTCCTGATATTTGGTAATTTATATAAATATATGAATAAGTTAGAAACACAAAGACAAACATTTTAAAACTGTATATGCATTAATAGGTATTTTATACAAATTAATATTGAACTTTGTTGTTTTATAATAATAAATAGAATTAAACAAAAATCAGACAAAATTTATTAATCTAGATATTTAAAACTTAAGATATCTTCTCTATCAATAGCTAGCATTTATTTTTCAAGACAAACCTATACTAACAAGTATAAATATCAGCCCCAATAGACAGCCTAACGAAAAATAATCAAATTTTTTTCTAGATTCTAAAGTAACTGAGACCTATCGTCGTAACTATTAACTAATTAATCAGTCTCTCCAGTTGGTGGTACTAATGAAACTTAAACATATTAAAAATAAACTTATTCTAAAGATGACTGGTCAGAATTACGTGATTAAACGAGCTTACCTGTAAGTGATGTTCGATCTTAATTAGGAAGTTTCCTATAGTCGAAAATACTGCCTGTGTTACTTGCAGCTGATAGTATAACCAGTATCTTTGACAAACCTGGAAGAATTATTCCAATAACTTTAAATTTAAGGAAGCTATGGCATTTTCTGTGTTGGCTGCTGTAGCCGATCGGCCTCGCGTGTCGAGGTTCGGTAGTGACGTCACATGACGGAACGTCGCGCGTCGGTAGTGAAGCGGTCGGACGTTACGATGTCCATTTATTAAGCAGGAGTAGAATCAATGATTCGTCATTCATTTTTGGGTATTGTTATTTGGCTGTTGTCATTATAGGTCTGGAAGATACACCTATGGCGAGGCGATTAGTTATGTGCAGCTAAAAAGAGAACGGGGTCTCTGTATTTTAGAAGCCAGGGTTACGCCTGAACATAGAGTTAAAATCAAACCGTATCATTGCAGTTTTGAATGAGACGAAAAGGAGGAAACAGTAATCCAGCTAGAATGAAGTGGTTGTGCTGTACAAGAGGGTGGCTGTAAGCATGGTATAGCGCTATTAATGTGGCTGCATAGAAGAAGCGAAGAACCACCACACTACAGACTAAGACTAATAATAATTATCATTGCTACCACTTATATCATAGGTATTAACTAAATAGCTGCTTACATCAAAATGGGATTCACAGTAAAACAACATTGATTTTTCCGACAGCGGCAATTTATCGTCCCTATTCATTACCTTGCACCACTTCTTTCTAATACTGCCCTGTTTTGACACACAGAAAAAATGTTTATCAGTGGTTGACATACATATTTGTACATCTAGGTACAATAAAATATTTGTAGGTTGAAGGTTTGACCCACTTTTTACTGATTATTAATAATAGAGGGAAGCGTGTGTGGCGCGGCGCGGCGGGCGCATCTCCTTGCAGTGGCCTGTAACAATTCAGGTTAAGGCTTTTAGCAACAGGTGATATGACGTACCTGGTTCAAAAATCACCATCCATTTCATGGTAATGAGCAAATAACGTAATAACATAGTTATGTTTAAGGTGTGGAGACTTGGTTCACCTCAAATGCCGCTTGAGCAAAGCTATTGTTTGGCATAAGAGATATATGACATATCTTAAAAAACGCACTCTAGCCCGCCGCGAGCCCGAGACTACTATAATTTAGCCGGCTCAGAGGTAGACGCATTTCATGTACTGTGGGTTGTCAATTGTGATACTGTTTGCTAAAACCGACTTCATCCATCTAGGAGCTGAGGCACCATGATAAAGTTACTGTACAGTGACAAATAAATGCTTTGACTGCACAGATATTTGGGCGTAAAATACGGTAAAACTAAAAGTGGGTGCCACATGAGTGACCTCGAAACTTTCAAAAACTGAGAAATCCCAATTTCAATATTATTCAACCCAATCCGGATGTTGTCTGTTTCAATCAGTTTGCGCACTCTGACCTGAGGTTAGAGCTAGGAGTCTTGCTGATTTCCTCAATTTATATTATGGCTCCCGTTACCTCAGGGTTCACCTTAGGTGGCTAGAACAGAATAGAATTTATTCATCTATCGTCATCAACAAGATCTGCACTGGAAATGTCAGCCTTGGAGCAACGCGCGAACATTAATTATACTAAGGTCGCCGCAACATCGTGGTGATGCGTCATCTATTGAAAACGGACTACATGGCTTTTAAGACAACACAATCCAGAGCGCCTTGCTGTTCAAATGCCACCTATGCAAAGTGTAACGTTAATCGGGCATAATGACGTTTAACATCCGTTATTACTGAACACTAGAACTTTGGTGGTTTCCTAACCGAATATGTTCGTACGTACAGTCATGTTCCATAGTTATCACAAACCATATGGAATTTGCTGTCACAAGCAAAATGTAACGCTAGTCTCGCATAGATGAAGCTAATCTCTGTCGTTCAATAATGAAAAATGGTACTTCGGCTTCTTCTTAAATTCTCATGTGCATCCTTAGAATATTGTTCCATAGTTATCACAAACGAGATAGAATTTGCTATCCCGAGCAAAATGTACCGCTCTAGTCTCACATAGATGTACCCAATTTTTATATGTTATAAATGAAAAATGCTATATTGCTACATTGCTATTACAAACTAGATGGGATTTGCTATGTCAAACAAAATGTAACGCTAGTCTCGCATATATGAACCTAATCTCTATTTGTTATTAATGAAAAATGGTACTTCGGCAGTTTCCCAAACTGCCTTGTGCATTCTTATTATGCTGTTCCAGGGTTATCACCAACCAGATGGAATTTGCCATCACAAGCAAAATGTAACCGTAACCTCGCATAACACACCTAATCTCTATCTGGTAATAAGTAAGAAATATCTCTTAACAACTTCCTACAGTCCTGTTCCATGGTTATCACAAACCAGATGAAATTTGCTATCGCAAGCAAAAGAGAAAATATTGTTCACCATACCTTGTTGCTACGTTGTCCCAAACGCTTTCTGTGTTGTTAGTTGTGCAACGAAGTTCAGTATTGAGTAATTTTTCCCAAACATCTTCATTCGTCCTCGGTCTGGACTATCACAAGCTAGGTCCATGTTGCTATCCCAAGCAACCGAGTCCAATGTTACCACGTTATCCCAAACGTCTTCGTTCATCCTAGGCGTGGAGCTGACTATCCCAAGCCAGGTCCACGTTGCTATCCCAAGCAAGCGAGTCTAATGCTTCCACGTTATCCCAAACGTCTTCGTTCGTCCTTGGTGTGGAGCTGACTATCCCAAGCCAGGTCCACGTTTATATCCCAAGCAACCGGGTCCACTGTTTCAGCGTTATCCCAAACGTCTTTGTCCGTCCTAGGTATGAAGTTGGCTATCACAAGCTAGGTCCAGGTTGCGACCTCAAGCAACAGTGGCAGAACGTTATCCCAAACGTCATGCTAGGCTCAATTTGCGGCGCTGGTGAGGCATTCATATTAATGTTCATTTAACTTGCACCTAAAACAGATCGGTTAGTTGACAGTTACCTGATGGTCTTGACGCTCCTCCAGAAAAGAGGCCTGCACACCACTTTCTAATTTTGGTCGGCGACGAAAGTAATCTTCAGGCGACCGTCAGTCGGTATCTCGTTCGACAATACACATCTATCGGCCAACCTTCTCTCATGTTTTCTAATTCTAAATATTGAGCGGATCCTCCATCTGCACTGCACATAAACAAGGCACGCCGATTGATCTTGACGGTCGGGCGCGAGAACAAGGAATGAAGGTTTATTGGCGGCCAGAGGGGAGAAAGGTAGGGGGAAGGGGCGCGGTGCCGCATTCCTCCTCTGCGTGCGCGCATTGAAATAGTCGCGGTTGGGTACTTCTACGAGGTTACTACGATATGTATTCTAAATATTTACTTCGTCGAGGATAGAACATAGTAGCAATTAGGACACACACAAATGATATCTTCTATATCTTTATCTTCAAGACATTGCGAATGGGTCCAATTATTTCAATCTCTGCATTCAATCCAATTTTCTCCTGGAGCAGTGTTAGACTAGGCATCAAAACATATGATACAGTACCATTCTAGTCCATTAATCTCTTCACTAGAACTCTCATCACTTTCATGAAGGACCTTTCTTTTGGCGGGATTCTTGATCCTCTTTTTCATTTGTTTTCCAACTCTTGCTTCCCCCTTTTATTTAAATGTTCTTCGTTGGCTTGCTTTCCTTTTTCCTTTTCTTGTTAGACGTTTTGAAAGGGCCGTTGATACCCACATCTAGTGGTTGCAAGCGGTGGGTGCAATGTGGAGGCAACGATAATAATATGACTTAGC